TGGGGGGCAGTTTGTGTGAATTGGGGGGGCAGTATTGGGGGCTATGTATGTGTGTGTGGCTTTTTTTTTTTTATAATATATATTTTTTTTATTTAATTAAAATAAATATCCTATGTCCCCCCTCCCTTCTTACCTTTACTGGGGAGGAGGGGGGACATATTTCGTTCCCTGGTGGTCCGGTGGGGGATTCATTGGTGGTCCCAGTGTGGAGAGTGAAGTCTAGCCCGCGCTCCAGGGCTAGAGTTCACTCTCGCGAGATTTGGAGCGTTGCCGTGGTAACCGCGGCAACGCTTCAAATCTCACGAGAGGAGAACTCGGAGGAGCTGCAGACTGAGTTCTGGGTCCTCTCTCGCCTCCCTCTCACTCCCCTGCCGGCTCTCAGCACAGTGCCTGCGGACTGGGGAGGGAGATCTCTGACAGGGGAGGAAGAGGGAGACCGGCGGATTTCTCGGGGGGGGGGGGCAATTGCCCCGTTGCCCCCTCCCTGGATCCGCCACTGGGTGCTAAATACAGGTATATTCTTGAGCAAAACCTGTACCACTCTGTGCGTGATTTGAGGCTAGGACGGAGGTTCACCTTCCAGCAGGACAATGACCCCAAACACACTGCTAAAGCAACACTTGAGTGGTTTAAGGGGAAACATGTAAATGTGTTGGAATGGCCTAGTCAAAGCCCAAACCTCAATCCAATAGAAAATCTGTGGTCAGACTTAAAGATTGCTGTTCACAAGCGCAAACCATCCAACTTGAAGGAGCTGGAGCAGTTTTGCAAGGAGGAATGGGCAAAAATCTCAGTGGTAAGATGTGGCAAGCTCATAGAGACTTATCCAAAGCGACTTGGAGCTGTGATTGCAGCAAAAGGTTTGACTTTAGGGGGTGAATAGTTATGCACATTGACTTTTTCTGTTATTTTGTCCTATTTGTTGTTTGCTTCACAATAAAAAAATAAATCTTCAAAGTTGTGGGCATGTTACATAAATGTAAATTAAATGATGCAAATCCTTAACAATCCATGTTAATTTCAGGTTGTAAGGCAAAAATGCCATACTTTTGCAAGGCACTGTACACACACTAGAACCCATGTGTGTACACCTCTACAAAATAGATCCCCCATAGGCACACAATGCACTACCTAAGAACACACTATATTTATTTGAATCCACTATGCACACACTAGATCCTCTGTAAGCAAGCACACTACATTCCCTAAATACCTCTCTTTACAATCCCTACACACACTACATCACCTACACACATATACACTATAGCCCCAATGCACACACTTGCTACATTCCCTATACACACACTCTCTCTCACTCTCTGCAGCACCTAGCCACACATGCAACACAAACACAGCCAGGGGCGGACTGACCGGTCGGGCACTTCGGACACGGTCCGAGGGCCTGGCCGGGAGGGGGCCCGCCGCCAGGGCCGCCTTCAGGGGGCCCGGCGGCAGGGCTGAATTGGGGGCGGCAGAGGAAGGTGCCACCGGGTGGCCGGTCCGGTGGCACACTGTGAGGGGGCCGGCCGTTTGATGCTGGAGCCGCCGGACCGGGTAGCAGCCTCGCCGGTCCGGCGGCTTTCCTCTGACTAACACTGAAGGGGGAGGAGGAGGAGCATCTGTCTATCATGCTCCCTGCGGTTCCCACAATTCCCAGCACAGGATGTGGGAACCGCAAAGGAGCATGACAGACAGATGCTCCTCCTCCTCCTTCATCGTTAGTGAGCGGAATGCCGCCGGACCGGCAAGGCTGCCACCCGGTCCGGCGGCTCCAGCATCAAACGGCCGGCCCTTGAGTAAGAGGGGGAAGAGGGGGCAAGAGAGATATGGGGGAAGAGGGGCAAGAAAAAATATGGGGGGGAAGAAGGGCAAGAGAGATATGGGGGGGGAAGAGATGGGGGAAGAGGGGCAACGAGAGATGGGGGGAAGAGGGGGGCAAGAGAGATATGGGGAAGAGGGCAAGAAAAAACATGGGGGGGAAGAAGCAAGAGATATGGGGGGAAGAGGGGGGGAAGAGAGATATGGGGGAAGAGGGGGCAATAGAGAGATGAAGAGGGGGCAAGAGAGATGGGGAAGAGGGGGCAAGAGAGATGGGGGAAGAGGGGCACAGAGAGAGATGGGGAAGAGGGGGAACAGAGAGATGGGAGGGGGAAGAGGGGCACAGAGAGGAGGGGGGAACAGAGAGATGGGGGAGGGGAGAAGAGGGGCAAGAGAGATGGGGAGGGGGGAAGAGGGGGGCACAGAGAGATGGGGGAAGAGGGGGCAATAGAGAGATGGGAGGAGGAGAAAGAGGGGCAATAGAGAGATGGGGAGGGGGAGAAAGAGGGGAAACAGAGAGATAGGAGGGGGAAGAGGGGGCAATAGAGAGATGGGGGGAAGAGGGGGGAACAGAGAGATGGGGAGGGGGGGAAGAGGGGGCAATAGAGAGATGGGGAGGGGGAGAAAGAGACAGAGGGGGAAGAATGAGACACAGGGGGAGAAAGAGGGGGAATATAGAGATGGGGAGGGGGAGAAAGAGACAACGAGGGAAGAATGAGACACGGGGAGAAAGAGGGGGGATAGGGAGGGGGAGAAAGAGACAGAGAGGAAGAGAGATGTGGGGGAGAGAGAGACAGGGAAAGGGGGGAGAAAAACAGTGGAAGAGAGGGAGAAAGAGGCAGAGGGGTAAGAGAGACTGGGAAGGAGGGGGGGAGGAAGAAACATACAGAGGGACGGGGGGAGACAAAAAGGCACACAGAAGGGCTGTAGATATCACTGGTGGATCCAGGGGGGCAACAGGGCAATTGCCCCCCCCCTCCCCTGTCCGCAGGCACCATGCGGGCAGGGGAGGGAGGAAGAGAGGACCTGGGAGCTCACCCTGCAGCTCCTCTGGGTCCTTCTTGCACGAGCACAGAGCGTTGCCGCGATTACCATGGCAACGTTACCGCTCTTGCGAGAGTCAGCTCTAGCCCTGGAGCTACGGTCTAGTGTTCACTCTCAACACTGTGACCCCCAGGGATTCCTGGTGGTCGCAGTGGTGAGAGTGAACTCTAGCCCCATAAACACACTGCCCACACACACACCATACACATTCACACACTGCCCCCATACACACCATACACATTTACACACATTGCCTCACACACACACATACACTGCCCACCCATATACACACAGACCCCCATACACAGCCCCCCATACTAACATTGCCACACACATACACAGCCCACACACCCTACACATTCACACACTACACCCCCACACACACACTGAACCTTTCACACACATTGCACCACTGCTTCTATTCCCTACTACAGCCCCATATCCCAGCAGATCCCAGGTAAGTTGTCAAACTGTTCTTAAATGGTTTGACTACTTACTCTGGAGCAGTAGTGGTTATTGTGCATAGATTATTTCTTTAAATAATTTACAAGTGCCCCAGTAGCCAGCCAACCCACAGGCTGGCCAGTAGCCAGCAAGTTAGCCAGCCCACAGGCCAGTAGCCAGCCCACAGGCCTACAGCAAGCCACAGGCTTACATCCAGCAAGCCCACAGCCTGCCAGTCGCAGCCAGCAAGCCACAGCCTGCCAGCCGCAGTCAGCAAGCCCACAGCCTGCCGGTAGTAGCCAGCAAGCCCACAGCCTGCCAGCCGCAGCAAGCAAGCCCACAGACTGCCAGCCAGCAACAGTAATTAAGGTAAGAAGAGCCAACTTGGCCTAGGTATCAGCGAGCTATGTTGTGTTGCTATATTGTGAATAGAAACCAGAGTGTTGGAGAGACCACCCTCCAGGCCCCATTAGACTCCATTGTAGTCTCTAATGGGGCCTGGAGGGGATTCTTTCTAACACACTCTCTAAAGGACACTGAGATAGCCCCCGCTAGAAAGACCCCCCTCCATGGCCCATTAGCCCTCAATTGTAGTCTCTGCTGGGGCCTCGAAGGGCTTATTGCCCTTTTGTTCCTTGTGTCTAAAGATTGTGTAGGGTGTGGCTGGAGGCGGTGCATGCAGGCGGGACAAGGGTGGCGCTTGCTGCAGAGTATGGGTGGGGCCTGTAAGGGGGCCCTTGATTTATTTTGCCCGGGGGCCCTGAGGGTTCTCAGTCCGCCCCTGAACACAGCATAACTGAAACTGACCTGTTTACACAAAACACCACAATCAGCTCACGCTACACATGCAATCCCACAAGCAGGCTCAAAACACATGCACAATACGCTTTCCTGGCCCTTTTGTCCTCTGGTATCCCACTTAAGCAGACACTAGAGACAAGTCACAAGCAAACACAGCGCAAGAATGTTAATACATTTGCTTGTGCTGTGCAGATCAAATACAGAGCCTTTTTCTCATGTGAGAGCTCTTCAGCAGTGCTCTGCGCATTGAACCAATATGCTCACTTTGAGAAGGGGCGTGTTTGCCCTCTGGCTTCAGCCCCTTATCAGTGGGCCGCTGTGATGCAAAAATGCCTAGGACAAATTTCGTTCCCATTGACACACATACAGTTGCACAGACACACTGATACACACACTGACACAAATACAAATGCTCAGACACAAAGATACAAACAATGACACACATACAGATGTTCAGACACACAGATACAAACATTGACAGACATGAAGAAACATAGATAAACATACAAATACACACACTGACACATGCAGATACACAAACTGACACACATACAGATACACACACTGTAATAAAGTGTACCCTATCCTACCGTAGATAGGGTACACTCTGCCGCCCGGATCCTTACGGTGTTTGGTGATTTCCATTTTGGGATCTATTATGCCAGTCAGCTGAGGATTCTACTTATGGGGTATGTTTTAGAGTGGCGATGAATCACTGCTTCTATTTTGGATATACATTTAATTTCTTACATCATATATTTTTAATTGCTATATTTACTTGATGATAATGCATATGAAATTCGTGCACTTGATGATGTTTTTGAATAATTTTTATGCTTTATTAGTATGCATTATAAACTTGTGATTAATGTGATGTGTGATCGATTATCTATGTCTTGATATGCACTTTGTCAATTGTTAAATTGATTATCCTTTATAAAGGATATCAATACACTTGTGGTTAGCTTTACAAAGGCAATTGTGTAATTGCCTGTAATTTAGAATATTCACGTTGTAATACAGATATATTAACATTATTAGACTTATCTCTATTAGTTACCTGTAGTTGAATAACAGGCAGGAATTATTCAAAAAGTTAGATATCATAATTTTGTGATGCTATGCTAATTTGTATTAATTGGTTAATAATGCATAGCCGAAAAGATAGGTTCTAAATGTATTGCTGGTTACCAAACAATTATTATTGTTATATTGTTATAATTATTATTGATTGTGTTTATTTTTAGAACAATTACATTTGTAAAATGAAGAAATATAATTGTTATTGCGATATGATGTATGTATATGTAAAATGCAAACATTAAATAGCATGTATCCGAAATTGTTTCTTTGTTAATTAATTTGAGCAATATAGACCAATCTTGTTTTTTAAAACGATGCTATTGGCATAGATTGGTTCTTCTTAGATTCATTTGTCTGTTCTTCACGTTCTTGGTTTTTCTTCCTACTGTGAAAAATAAAACAGAGCACATTATAGCACATTCAGTTAACTACAACTTTAAAGAACACTCAACACTGGGAACCAGTACAACTTTATTGCATATTAAACATTTTGGCTTAAATAAAATGTTGAACCACCTTTCTCTTTAGTTTTGCTAAATGTATTTTTTTGCTGTCTGTAGTATAACTATACCCCCTAAGTAATGTCTCCTCTTTTCATCAAGCAACTCTCTTAAAAAAAACAACAACAAAAACCCATACTCAGAGTGAACTCTGAGATCAACAAAAAATTTATTTTATTAGACTAGTGCAGGGAAAAAAATTGGCTCTTCTCTAGCACCTCAGGGGAAATTTGTTTGTGGGTGGAAGAATTTAGGTAATGCCGCTGTTCGGCTCTTCCGATTTTCATTCCAGCAAAAAATTGTGCAAGGCAAATCGAACAGCCAAAGCAGCAGGGAAAATGGTGACTGGCTGCTGACATGCAAAAAAAGGCTACCATGTTTTCTGTCCTTTGACAATGACACAATGATCACAAAATTGGATTATTATATATCTGGATTAGAAAAAAATAGGAAATGAGAGATCCACTGTATTGTTTTCCTTCTGCTTTCTTGTACTAACTAGAAATGGGGAGCAGGAGTAATTTCCTATTACCCATTCACCCCTTCCACCCTGACAAAAACAACGTTTTCCCACACATATATTCTGTAGCGTCAGTGACTGTCATTCAGTATGTGAAAAAAAACAGTACCCTATTAGCTTATCCCAACTGTGTCTGCGGAGGCTCAGCCAGAAAGATTGAAAACAATGAAAGTTTTTTTTTTAAATGGGGAGTTGCAGCAGAAGCATGAGAAAATTAATTTGTATTTTATTTCTTTAACACAAGAAACTTGCCAAGAGTAAAAACAATGAAAGTTTTTTTTTTAAATGGGGAGTTGCAGCAGAAGCATGAGAAAATTAATTTGTATTTTATTTCTTTAACACAAGATACTCTTGGCAAGTTAGAAACAACTTTAAATGACCAATTGGATCTCAGCTAGCAAATAATGATGCCTCAAGTAAAAAAAAGTGAAGGGCAGAGTAGTCCAACGTGGGGAGATTGAACTTGATGAAGGCTATTTGATTTCTCAGTTACAGTTGACATTTGTGAGTGTAGGGAACTTAGAATGTTCCCTGTAGCAGAAAACACTCACTAACTTTGAACATTGCACCATAAAACACAGAAGCTGTAATGCTTGAACTAGCTGTGGCAGAAGGAGCTGCACTACAATTATTGATATTGCTGAATAATACAAATAGTGGAGAAGGTGTTAGCAGTCCTCATACCAGTGAAGAGGTGTTTACACTCTTAGAGACCATAGTACTACTGCTGATGGTGGATTAATTTGTACTGTGCTGTCACATTCCGATACCCTTTTTCAATTTCTTGGTTTATGATGTATCAATGATGATAGTTTTTTTTTTTTTTTATTACAATAATTTAGGGATATGAATAACTGTGTTGTGTAAATTAACACAACTTTTTTCAGCTTATCTAGAATTTTGTATTGCAAAATATTTTGGAGAATTTACTGAGGTTATGTTATAGTGTTTGGTGATCAGAAAATGCTGCGCAGTACTTGAACACTTGCACAGCACACACTGATCTGAAAACACTATAAAAAAAATAAATTCGGTAACACCAAAAGGACTGTATAGATTTATACATGTCAAGATGCGATACATGGCTTTTACATTTTTTGAATGTTTTGCGCATATAATTGAGATGCAGAAGTTTGCATACCCTGGCAGAAATTGTAAAATTTTGGCACTGATTTTGAAAATATGACTGATCAGGCAAAAAAAAATATTTTATTGAAGGATAGTGATCATATGAAGCCATTAATTATCATATAGTTGTTTGGTTCCTTTTTTAAATCATAATAATAACATAAATCAACCAAATGGCCCTGATCAAAAGTTTACATTCTCTTGAATGTTTGGACACACAAGGTGACACACACAGGTTAAAATGGCAATTACATATTAATTTCCCACACCTGTGACTTTGTAAATAGCAATAAGTGTCTGTGTACAAATAGTCAATGAGTTTATTAGCTCTCACGTGGATGCACTGAGCAGGTTAAATACTGAGCCATGGAGAGCCGAAAAGAACTGTCAAAAGACCTGCGTAGCAAGATAATGGAACTTTATAAAGATGGAAAAGGATATAAAAATATATTCAAACCTTGAAAATGCCAGTCAGTACTGTACAATTACTGATTAAGAAGTGGACAATTCGGGTAACTCTCGATACCATGCCAAGACCAAGATAGATTTCAGCCACTACTACCAGAAGAATTGTTCGGAATACAAAGAAAAACCCACAGGTAACCTCATTAGAAATACAGGCTGCTCTGGAAAAGACGGTGTGGTTGTTTCAAGGAGCACAATCCGATAATACTTGAACAAAAATAAGCTGCATGATCGAGTTGCCAGAAAGAAGCCTTTACTGCACCACGGCCACAAAAAAGCCCGGTTACAATATGCCAGACAACACCTTGACATGCCCCACATCTTCTGGAACACTGTAATTTGGAGTCACGAGACCAAAATAGAGCTTTATGGTTACAACCTATGCGCTATGTTTTGAGAGAGGCCTTTAGTAAAAAGAATACCATCCCCACTGTGAAGCATTGTGGTGGCTCACTGATGTTTTGAGTGTGTGTGAGCTCTAAAGGCACAGGGAATCTTGTGAAAATTCATGGCAAGAAGAATGCCGCATGTTATCAGAAAATATTAGCAGACAATTTGCATTCTTCTGCACTTCCCAGCATGACAATGACCATAAGCACAAGGCCAAGTTGACCATCAGGTGGTTGCAGCAGAAAAAGGTGAAGGTCCTGGAGTGGCCTTTACAGTCTCCTGACCTTAATATCATTGAGGCACTCTGGGAAGATCTCAAACGTGCGATTCATGCAAGACGAGCAAAGACTTTTCATGACCTGGAGGCATTTTTCCCAAGACAAATGGGCAGCTATGCCACTTGCAAGAATTAGGGGCCATATAGACAACTATTACAAAATAATGCACGGTGTCATTGATGCTAAAGGGCGTATTGTACACTATTAAGAACTAAGGGTATGCAGACTTTTGAACAGGGTTCATTCAATTTTTTTTCTTTTTTGTCAAGTTTTCTTTTGTGATTGTGTAATTCTGTTTTAACCTACAGTTGAATATGAATCCATAAGAAATAAAAGACATGTGTTTTGCCTGCTCACTCATGTTTTCTTTAAAAATTGTATATTTATTGCCAATTCTCCAAGGGTATTCAAACTTTTTAGCACAACTGTATATGATGTAGTGTGTAGGGGTTTGTAAAAAGTGGTATTTAGGGATCTAGTGTGTACATAGGGGATTCAGAATGTGTATGTCAGAAATGTAGTGTGTGTTTAGGTGGTGAAGTGTGTGCCTATAGGGAATCTATTGTGTGTAGGTGATCTAGCATTAGTATGTATAAGGGTCCTAGTGTGTGTATGTGTAGAGGATGCAAAGTTGTTTGGGTAATCAAGTGTGTGTGTGATGGGTGCAGTGTATGTAAGGGGGAGCAGTGTGCATGGGGGGTGCAGTATGTGTGTGTAAGTGGTGCATTGTGTGAGTGGTGCATTGAGTGTGTGTGTGTGTGTATGTGTGAAGGGTGCAATGTGTGTGTGGAGGGGTTCAGTAAGTGTGGGTCTGAAGGGTGCATTGTATGTGTATGTAAGGAGTGCAGTGTGTGCTGGGTGCAGTATGTGAAGAGTGTAGTGTGTGTGTGAAGGGTGCAGTATGTGTGTGTGTGTGTGTGTATGGGGAGCAGTGTGTGTGTGCCAGGTACACTGTGTGTGTGAGAGGGGAACAGTAGGTGTGTGAGGGGTGCAATATGTCTGGTTGTAAGGGGTGCAAAAGTTACTTTATATATCTTGCTGTGTTCTTCTTTCCTTCCTTCTTTCTTACTAATATTCATAAAGTATCACAAATTTTATGGCAAGACAGGAGGCTTCATATTTGCTTATCTTTCTTTACTGTAACTCCCAGCAGCAAAGAAATAGTTAACAATCAGTGCAAAAAAGTTTAACCAATCAGCGTGCATTACAGTAATATAAACTGCCATCAGGTTCCTCCCAACTCCTCTTTCTTTGCTGCTTAGCCTCCTAGGTGAGTCTTTTCTAATTATATCGTTATTAATGCTCTTTAGCTGACTATAATCATTTAAATGTAATAAATATAGTTTCATTTCTTTGATTTTATTTACATGTGAAGACTAGCTAAATCTCCTTTGGTATTTGTATTTCATTTCCTTTTATTAACACTGCACATTCTAGTCAGCCCACTGCACATTCTAGTCAGCCCACAACTTTATACTTCTTTTACTATTATAATTGTGCTCTGTGCGTGGATGCACTGAGCAGGTTAAATATTATTTATTTGAGCACTGACAGTTTTGCCACGGCTCCGGGCATCTTGCCGGTCCGTTCAGCCACTCAGTTTCCTCTGCACACAGTTTGTTTCCCCTGGGGTCTCCATAGAGATGCGTCCCACCCTTTTTCCTATGCTACAGCCATTTCTCTTACCTTTTCCCGCGCATTTGACTCAGTGCCAGTGGACGGTTTCTGTGCGGCAGTTTCTTTCCGTTTCGGCTCTTCACTGTGAACGAGACCCAGCCGTTCGGTAAGTATACTTTTTGCTCTTAAAGCCCTAGATCTATAGTTTAATTCAAGTTATA